GAAACCCTGTACAGAGCTGCTGTGAGTTAAAAACGACTTGAGGGCACTTAGCAGCAGTATTATTTCACAAAAGGGGGTCACTTAAACACCAACAAAGGTGAGGGGTACAAGGGAAGGACAACAGTTTGTAAATGCAATCACATGGGATGCTCTGAAAAGCCATCTTTGCATTGTTCCTGGGTCTAGCTCCTCCTCCTTTGTTACTGACTCTGCAGCTCTGTCCACAGAGTCCCCAAACTCACCTCATGACAGCACAGCGGTGGATACAAGCCCCGAGGACTTAAACGAGAAGGAGGAGGTTGTAGGGGAAACAGAGAATGAGAGCGATGCACCCGCTAATGAGAACAGTAGGCTGACAATGAGGTGGAAGAGGAAGAAAGTGATGGTGGGAATAAAGATGGAGATGAAGATAAGGAGGCCGAGGCAGTTAAAGATGATGATGATAATGATGATTTTGACACCAAGACGCAGAACACCAACACAAATGACTAGACAGCAAAAAAGGAAAAGTTCATCTTAAAAAAGGCCACTGTGACCTATTCACCCTCCATTTCCCGTCTCAGAATCTAAATGTGGTCACATTTGAGTAGAGAGAGTCCCACCCACCCACTTTGGTCAGCGCCACCTGCAGATACATGTGCTCACCACCCAACCCAAACCACAGCGTGGATTTTCAACAAGACAGACAAAAGAACCCAAACTTCCAAGGCCCTGCTTTTTTTCTTTAAAAGTACTTTTAAAAGGAAAATGTGTTTGTATTTTTATTTACATTTTCTATTTCTGTAACTATTGTTAGGGGTCAGCCATTGTTCATGATCTTAGATGATCAAAGCAGCCTTTGGAGCATTCTCTGCCCTACTTCTGACTTGACTTGTGGTGTGACCATGTTCTTTATAATCTCCAAGGAGAATAAAACCTAAAATAATAATAATAAAAGCAAAAACCGCAACAACAGAAACTACAATCTTAGTCCAAGCACTTCAGTAACTTTTGTGTTTTGTGCTTAGCTGTACTCTTAAGTAGTTGATTTGTATGAGATGGTTAAAAAAGGCCAATAATAAAAGGCTTCCCCCTCCTTTTTTTTTTTTTTCGTTTCTTTACTTATTTAGACCCACTTGATGTATGTGTGAAACAATGTTGTCTAACTATAAACTGGAATTTTATTTTTCTGAGTTGTTCTCAAAACAAAACAAAACCAACAACAGGTGCAGGAACCAACATTTCAGAAACATTGGTTTATGGAGGAACTTGATACAACAGTTTTCACCTGTAGAGCTTAACATACTACAAAGCCCAGGTCCTACTCTGAAGTAGTATATTAAATGGTAGGACCCAGGTGTTTTTTTTAACTCTACAGATGTTCTGATTCATAAGAATCACTACAGATGTTCTCCTGAAACTACTGACGGAAAAATCAGGAAAAGTACATGTGTTGTTGATTTCTGTCCTAACTGTGTAAGTCTAATGGACTGCCCTCTACCATAGTGATTTTTATGTTCTGGGTAGAAAATTGCCAATATTCCAATATTATGTAACCAGGAGACTAGAGAATTCTTTAGCAAAGATCCCAAGTAAATGATGGCTTAACAAAGCAAAGAGATACAGATTATTTAAAAACTAGTTGTAGTGTTCGGCCAAGGAAGATTGCATCAGAAGCATATTAGGTGAATTCCATGCCATAAGAAAAGCTTAATTCTGTATGAATATTTACTGGTTGTAAGACAAGAGGGATCAAGATAAATAAGTCAAAAGACTTGGGCCATTTGGCCACAGAATATGATATAAAATAATTTATCATTGTCTTTTTTTTTTTTTATGGTGGGTGGCGTTAGATTCCTTTTTACTTACTATATGCACAATGGTTTGAAATTCAGTTATTCATTTCTTTTAACTTCTGGGTCCCATGATTATCACATATTTTCTTTAGGATGTTTTTTAAAAAAGATTTTTATTGCGAATTGAGTGAAAGTTTATAGGCAGTACATCAGTTTTGCATTCAACAAATCATATCCTTTGCTTCATCTCAGTTACAATCCCCTCTCTGCAACAAGATTCATGCTGCTTCCTTCCTGTGGTTTCTGTTTCCATTCCACACATTTTCCCATCCCTTCTGAGCTTTGTCTTTAGGATTTTTAAAGTGAATAGAAATAATTAGAAAGCAGTTTTGGGTAACCAAGCTAAGTGTAGTTCATATCTATGGATAGAAATTTGGGTACAGAACTATGAAGATATGTAAGTCACAAACAATTATGATAGCTAAAGTATAAGACTTTCTTGAGTATTTAAGTACAAGTGCAGGTTGTTCTGAAGAAATAGAAAGAAAGTGAACAAGCCTTGTTATTACTAATTCACCTCTTTGTCCAAGTGACAGTTGTTTCAGATGGCCATTATTGATGATGATTAGGATTGATTGTGAAGATTGCCTAGATGATTAACCAGCTCATCTAAGAGGGAGAATACAGAAAAACAAGCATTAAAAATATCATAGAGTATCTGAACTAAGTTCAGTGGCAAATGTGTCACATCTGTTTTTTAATCTTCCATTTGTAATGAACTGTGGAAACAATTAAGATAGCCTCGGACACACCCCAGGCCTCCAAAGAAAGGCCTGACAATCTACTTCCAAAAATCAGCCGCTGACAGTCCTGTGCAGAGCAGAGTCCACCTCTGGTGCATACACATAAAAAGGATCACCATGCATTGGAATTGACTCAGTAGCAACTGGACCACACTGGATATGTATTAAAAATAGAAACGTTATTTTTTATTTCAAAAGCAGTGCATATTGACCGTAGAAAATTTAGAAAATGCATATAAATATGAAGAAAACAATAATGCACTGGACTGCATGTATCTCCTAAAACCAGAGGTGTTTTCATATATAGCAAAATAAAATTTCAAACTTAGGAAAGTTAACATTAACTAATACGGCCGCTATCCAAGTAATATTCCATTTTCTAATTTTGCTGTGTTGGGATACTTAGCAAAAGAGACTTTTTTTCTTTTCTTTTCTTTTCCTGGGAGCCAATCCATTTAGCTTTCAATGTATTTTTAGTTCTGCCATTAAAGCTGGCCATCTGGAGCTGGCCTTTCCTTTATGACATTTTTGAAGAGCAAGGGCCAATTGTTGGGTAGATGGTTCCTCAGTTTGGGTTTGATTGCTATTTCATCATGATCAGAAAGATCATCAATTTACTCACCATGCTTTGGAACACTGTAACTACTCCAGCTGTAAATAGTACTCACTGAACTCGGGGCTCCTTTGCGCTTCAACTTGTTTATGGTAACGTTCTTTGAATTAATTTGTTTTTGTTTCATAGATCCTAGGTTTGTTTTGAGAGCATACCTATTACATTGTTGGGTTTAAATATTATAGAAATAGAATACATCAATTTTTGCCAGTGTTTCAAATATATTTATTTTGGTCTTTCTAGAATCTGTGTTTGTGGATATCCTCGACAACATGTAAGAAAATACAAAGGTATAAATAGCAGGATACCAGTTTCTTCAGAATTCATGGTGCAAATGTTAACAGGGATTTATTTTGCCTTGTAAGTTTATCTTATGTACAAAGTAAGCCTTTGGTCTTTTAGTTTATTTTTATTACATTATAATGTCAGTGTCAGTACATAGCATAATCAGCATATTTTCATGTGAAAGTATGAGTCACGATCTTGGTAATAATTTTATTATTTAAATATATCTTAAAATTCTGAAGGATTTTTGATTCAAACACTTTCTCATCTTTCTTTAGTTCAACGACAAAATGGGAATTAGTGAAACCTAAACATAACTCATATTTCCTTTCTTTAGTACTGTTTCTTTCCCTATAATTTCCAAATAGCCTTTTTGTCCAATGAATATCTTTGAATACTTAAAAAAAATAAAAGTTTCCAAAAGTTTTAGCTTAAAATATTTTAGAGCTTCTTTGATCAGAAATAGTTTACTTTAATCTTTAGTATAGAGTCCTGGTGTGGTGCTGTAGGATAAACACTGGAACGCTAACCACAAGGTCAGCTGTTCAAACCCACCAGCCGTTCCTCAAAAACCGTATGCTGCGTCTGTATGACTTGGAGCTGACTCAACAGCACTTGATAACAACAAACTTCAATATCGATGTTCTGTCATACCAAATGCTTTACATAATAGTATTTTTCTTTGAACTTTATCTTTTACTTTATAATTTTTATTGCATATAACTTTCTATATTTTGCATTGTTTTTATGTGCTACTTTAATTTTCACTAATAGGTTATAAGCTCTTTGACTGAAGGTAAAATTTATAATCTACAGGCCAAATCTACCTTTTTTTATTAAGTAAAATTTTGTTGAATCACAGTTATGACCATTTGTTTTTCAGATTAGCTATGACTACTTTCTTGTCATGATAATAAAGTTCATGAAGTACTAGTGACAAAGCCTAAAATATTTATTATTTAGCCTTTTAAGAAAAGGTTTATTGATCCTTATGCTAGACCATTAATATTTTCCCACAGCCCTTAGATGCTCTTATCTGTTTTATTTTCTCTCCTTTTGTGTGTTTTAGTTTGTGTAGTTTCTATTGGCATATCTTCCAGTTCTCTGATTCTTTTCTTGTCTGTGTCCAGTCTGCTAACGAGCCCCTTGTAGGCTTGCGTCATTTGTTACTGTGTTGTTTTTTAGCTTTTTCATTTTACTCTTTATCAAATTCCCATTTTTCTGTTCTCTATTCATGCATGTTGCCCATCTTTTATACTGGTGGTGGCGGTGGTGCGCTGTGGAGTCAGTTCCGACTCATAGCGACCCTGTAAAGGGTTTCTGAGGCTGTATATCTTTGTCCCGTGGATCAGCTGGTAGTTTTGAACTGCTGACCTGAAGGTTAGCAACCCAACTCATAACCACTATGCTACCAAAGCTGCTCTAATATATTAATCACAGTTATCTTAATTGCCTTAATAGCACCAACATCTGGTTCATCTCTTAATTTTGTTCTTTTGATGTTTTATCTCTTGACAGCGTTTTTTCTTGCTTTTTGTATGTCTTGTAATTTTTAATTGATCATGATTCTCTTCATAAGTAGGGCAGTAGAGACTGAGGGCATGTCTTTATACCTGGAAATGGTCATGCCATTTTTTCTTCTAGGGTACTCATGGTTGGATTTTGTTGTTGCTATGGTTACCTACCTCAAACTCTTCTAGTGTTACAGGGCAGTTAAGGTGGAGACTGGATTGAGGGGTTTTTCTCAATCTTCCTGATCCCTCCTCACTGTTCATATCTCTCCCTGTCTGCCTGCGTCATAGAAAGGGTCTCTCTCCACTAACAGTAGACTATTGCTTATTTCTAGGTGTGTACTAACCTGGTGGGAGGGAGGGGAGCAGGGATTGTTCTCTCTTGTCCCAGTGTAGTCTCAGTCTCAGGTAGGACCTATGTTCTTGGATCTCAGGTGTGGGGGGTTTTCAGTGATTCTGATCTCCCCCAGTCATATGAGACAATGATCTCATTACTGGGTGATTTCCTGATTAATTTCATTTTATTCCCTCAGAGCCATAGGGTCTTCATCTGTATTCTAGGAGTGAAACTGTTTGTGACTTTCCCCAAAGGCTTAACACTGTTGTTCCATAGGGAAGAAGAAGCTGTGAGTGGACTTGAGTTTCCCATATAGTGGCCCCAGAGATTTTTATACTCTTATGGCTAGCCTACATTTGGCTTTGAACAATTGTTAAAGGGTTTAGCTGAATTCTTGTTATTCACTTGACTTGCAGCCCATCTGTCCTTAGAGGCACCTGTCCACCCTTAGGTTGGGTTGTTGCCTCCTTGGTTGCTCTGGAACCCCATCTCTTTGATGGGTTCATAAAAACTTATGATTTCGTGGATTATCTGGCTTGATCTTTTTTTTGGGGTAATGATGTTCCTTTCATCTTTCTAGATATCACTTGCACTCCACCTAATTGGTATTTCTAAATTTTTTTAGCAGATGGTCAAACCAATATATCTATACATTTATCATTTAGTCAATTATTATGAAGAATTTATCCATTTATATATGCAATATATGCATATAGTATTGTATATGTCTGTATACAGGGGGATTCAAAAGGCTTGTGGAAAAATTCCATCATCTTTTAACTCAATTTTCCCATGAGCCTCCTCATATACATATACATATACATAGATACTTACTTTTAACCTAATGCCTCTCTGATACTTTCAACATACATCATGCACACTTGTAAATGACTTAACAGAATGGAAAGAAATGACTATTCAGAATACCACAAGCCACAGTAGTTGTAGATTCTCATAAAAAACTGTGGGAGTTACAGAGTAATTTGACCATAAAATGTTCTGAACATTATTCTAAGATATATAATTTGTTATGCTCTGACTTGCTTTGAAAGTATAAAATGCTTTGAAATTGTCTTAGGTTTTTGATTTCTGGTCTATTAATAGAGGTGTTCTTTAGAGAAGAAATGTACATCTATAAAATTTTCTTTCCTATTAATAGGCTTTCAGATACAATTGAATGGAATTCAAAGATTTAAAAATATATTTGTAAGGGGAGTGAAATGCTCAGCAATATTAATATGATTGGTTGTTTTCCTCAGTAAAGATAGTTTCTAAGTATGTTTTGTTTAATTATATAGAATTGATTAAAAATAATAAGGCTTTTAAAAACTTAATGTATTTAATTTTACAGTTATAATGGAGAATGGGATCTAGCTCAAAAAGCATTGGATGATAATATATATAGAGCCCAGCTGGAGTTATATCCAGAGCCACTGCTGGTAAGTGGATCATTTATGTATATTTGATCAGGTCAAGTTTCTCAATTTAGGAGAATAAATTTAGAGTATGGTGCTATAGGATAAACACTGGACTGCTAATTGCAAGGCTGGCCGTTCAAACCCACCAGGCCCTCTTGGAAACCCCATACTGGGTCACTGAATTGGAACTGACTCAACAGCTCTTAACAATTAAAACAACCATTCATAGTGCATTAATAAGTCATTATAATCAGTAATTCAAGCCCCAGTAATACTAGGAAAATATACACTGAAAAAGGTATATGTAAAAAAGTTTGAAAATTTTCATTATACTAACTTCCCAAATATCTGATAATCTTTCTAACTTTTTTTTTTGGAATTGAATCTTTATTTACAGTCCACAGTAAGATATGAAATTCCACACAGAAATAAGAAACCCAATGATAGGAGAGGCTTCATACAGTATGTACAGTTTGGAACTGTTCATGTATAGTTTCGTTGTAAAAAGTGCTACATAGCAAATCACATTTATAAAGAATTCTTAGTAGAGAAACAGTAAGACAAACTTATACCAAACAAAGTACACAACAAACAACTTATGACTCAGCTGTACAATCTTAAAAGTTAAAGGTCCCAGGAATGCCATCCGGAACTTGGAAGGCATACCCTGCAGAGGTAGTTTCTGGCACAACATTCTGATCTTCTTCTTCCTCTACAGAGAAGTACTTCTCAATCAGACTCAGTGAAGCCTTGTACACAGACTCATTTTCATCCTTTTGCAGAGCTTCAATTTTGTCCAAGCCTCTGCATTCTTCAATCATTATACTAAGTTTCTCAGTTTCACTTATTTTCTCAGCAGCTTGAAAGATACTTGAAATGGCATCCAGAATAACCAGAATAATTTCTGTATCCTTTGCAGTTAAAAGGTTCATCAGTGGTTCTATTATGCCACAATGGACGAGATATACAATCTGTTCAACTGTTCCACCACTTGTAGAGTTGGTCACAGCCCACACAGCTTCTTTTTGAGTCTTGAAGTCTGCCTTAGAGAGAATGTCAACAAGGAACGGGACTAATCCATAATTCACTACTTGTTGTATCTGGTCCTGACGACCTGCTGTAATGTTTGACATGGTCCATGTAGCTTCCTTCTGAATATTAGTTTTGGGATTTGTTAGCAGGCTGGGAAATATAGCAAGTGCTCCTGCATCTATTACAACCTGAGTCTGTTCATCTGTCTCAGTGATAATATTCCCGATGGCTCTTAGTGCAGGAGTCACAATCGGCAGCTCAGTGGCTCCTAGAAGCTTCACAAGTTGGGGCACAACTCCTGTCTTCACGACCATCTCAATCCATTCATTTGGACCATTGGTAAGATAGGAAAGAGCCCAGCAGGTATCTGCCAATACTTCTGGATCATCGTGATGCAGAAGACAAACTAAAGTAGGGAGAATCTGCTCAACAGCATCTAATGGGGGTGCAGGATTCTTGTTTCGACAAAGATTTGAAAGTGTCCATGTAAGATTCCTCAAGTATCCACATGCTAAAGATGACATATCAGGAACTGCAAGTAGAGCTAAAAGAGGGTCGACTGCACCATACTTGATAACCAAGTCTCTGAAAGGTGAACCATCACCTGCAATGTTTCCTAGAGCCCATACAGCTGGTTCACTGATATGAGCATGAGGAGATGCCAACAGAGAAATGAATGCTGGGATAGCACCTCCGTCTACCACAGCCTTGGTCTGTTCTGATGTCCCAGAAGCAATGTTAGTAAGTGCCCAAGCAGATTCAAACTGAATGGGGCTACAGTCAGTTCTGCCCAAGAAGGATACAAATTTTGGAATCAAGCCAGCCCAGATTATGTTGTCTATGGAAAGCAGTTTCCTAGCAGCTTGAGTAGCTTGGAGCTGGCTTTCCAAATTGTTGCTATTTATGCCTTTGAGAATGTCATCTACAGACCAATTTACAGTACCCTGGTTGTTGCGGTTTTCCTGCAGTGGCGAAGTAGCATCATCAGGAAAAGAGCTTACATTTCTCCTTTTCAGCATCTGGTCATCCTTCTTAGCTTTCCTCAGTTCCACATTAACTTCTATACGGCGCCGCCTCATTTATGTACTGTCTTTTCCCTTGTTCTTGAATCTGTTAAGCCGGGCAGATGGTAAATTAACATTCTCATTGGTGGACATGATTGTGAAACAAAAGTTGCAAGCTGCGGAGCAGGTTCAGGCTTCCACAGAAGGTGGAGCGGGGCTTACAAGCTGTAGATCGGCTGCCCTCCGGAATCGTCCAACGCGGCTCAGACCGGAGACCGTCAATCTTTCTAACTTTTAAGCATGTATTCCTTAACGTAGTTTATCTGTGTATATTGATTAGCATTATGAATTTGGGAATCTAATTTTGTATTTTGAAAATGTTAAGTTCATCACTTACATGCTTTTTTTTTTTTTTTTACCATAAGTTTCCTAGTTTCCTTCTGAGCTCTTGATCTTTGTAGTATCGTCTTATGAAATATCTTGGAGAGAATGTTCAATTGGTAAATAGGTTAAAACTTTAGCATCATGTTTGATCTAAGTGTATAATAATGAATCTATTAATGCCATTCTTATTATTCTTTTTCCTCTTAGGTTGCTAATGCAATAAAGGCTTCATTGCCTCATGGTGCCATGAAATCTAGTAAAGAGGGCACAAGGTGTATTCAAGTTGAAATTACACCGACTTCCTCTAGAATATCAAGAAATGCAGTAACCAGCATGTCTATAAGAGGTCATAGGTGGAAAAGACACGGTAAGAAATATATAGCTCTTCAAATTAGAGGAGCCTTGTTGACTCGATCCTGTTTTCTCTATGCTTCTGGTGGTCTAACTTCAAGCTTTAGTGAACAGTACTGTAGGGACCTGAAAGACAGAACTATTGAGTCCCCCTAACTCCTCCTAAACTATATCCAGGACTGCTAAAAAGTGGAACTTCTTAAGTTACATACATAAATGAAAAATTATTTTAAATTTTAAGTTCAATAGAAGAGGAGAGTAGGAAAAATGCCTTTTTAGATTTTTTAGACACTATATGGAAACATTTCCTACCTTTTCTTCATTTTCAATGACTTTTTTCATTAGCAAACTTGTGTATTGAGATAAGAAGAAACTTTAAGCACTTTTTCTGGACTTTCTACTGAAGAATGCTGTAGTGTTGCTGCAACTTTAAGTGTTACTATTTTCTTGAAGTTAATTTTCTTCCAGGATTGTTGTTTTTCATTTGTTTTAATACTCTTGTTTGACCGTTTTATTTTATTCTTTTAAAATTTTACTGGAAGTTAATTTTGTTCACCTTAGTTTTCTCAATATTTTTCCTATTTCTTTACCTTCTCTTTTTTATTGTTTATTTAATTTCTTGTTCTTATTATAACTTCCACCCACCTAGAAGTTACAATAGTAGCATGAACCCCTGTAAGAAGAAGATTGTTATCACCTTCCTCAGAACGTAACCACTGGATGGGAGCAAGAAATCACTTTGTCCCAAACAAAGGAATAAAACAAACCCTGTTCTGTTTTCTTCTTTCTGTAAAGTGAATGAAGGTGGCAGTTCCTTTTGTGATATTAGATGTTGGTAGTCTATGATCCCTAGAGAAAATGGGAAAGTGAGAAGAATGAAGTTATTTATGGTGAAATAGCAAGTTCACGATGAGAACAGTAGTCCTTGTTCCCACTCAGGGAATTTAGAAGATAGTATGTCAAAAAAGAATGACATGTAATTATCCAGCTAAGCAGCTGATCATTTTGAGTCTTTTTCTTTTTAAAAGTTAGTACAACAGTTCTTGAATGCACTTTAGGAAAGCATGAGAGAGTTAGTAATGTTTGCCGTTGTTGTTGTTGTTATGTACTGTGGAGTTGGTTCCGACTCATAGCGACCCTGCACAGGGTTTCCGAGGCTGTAAATCTTTACAGGAGCAGAACGCCTCATCTTTCTCCCGCGGAACAGCTGGCCTTGCAGTTTGCAGCCCGATTTGTAACCACTACGCTACTAGAGCTCCTGCAATGTTTGCCATTAGCAAGACAAATTATAGTACTATTTAAAACACAGAGTTTAAAACTTCAGTTTCTTCCGTGAACATCATGCTATTCAATAGGCTGCTTTGCAAATAGAAAGTCATATAATTAGATATGGCGGTACCCTAAAGATTTTCTCTTTTGGAATTAATTGGTAAAGTCAGGCACAGAGACAATAAGGCAGATCATATTAATCATTGTGGCCATACATTTTTCTACCCAGTTTTTAGAGAAAGAGAGAGAGAATTTATAGGAAATTTTAACAGAAAATGCCAGAATGAATTTTAATTCATTTTCCAATTTCCCTTCCTGCTATTTAGGTGGACATATTGGGAATTAGGGAATAAATGTAGGTCTTACAGTTATAAGAATCTTGAACCTTACTTGTGTTTATGCATGTATGTGTGTGTGTGTGTGAGAAAGGATGCATATGCGTGTCCATGCATGCATTTAACAAAATGAGACTCTCTGTACCTTGCAATAAATTGGAAGCCATTTCCCAGAAATATTTTGTAGGACAAAAAAAATCCCCCAAACAAGATAAGAGGATACTTGAGTATATTGTATCTGTTAAATTCGTACAGACTTTTTGGTTCCATTTTGGGTACCACATGAAGCATTGGTACTCTGAGTGTCTGGGGGCTTCAGCTGCATTAAATTAACATTCCTTGTCACCTTTTCCCCTTCAGTTATTCATCATTAGCAACTCTAGGGAAACCCCTGTTTATGGTAACAAAAACCACAGATGAAGATCCAAGAGAACAAACTATAAAAAGTAAATCAGATGCATGGAGCAGATACAGAATTCACCTCGTCAATGGTGTGAATTCCTTTTATTCAAGTGAACTCCAAAATATCCCTCATCAAAGGCCCTTCTTATTTGCCTCAACAAGTAGACTACATTTTCCCTTTGCAGGGTAGTCTTGGCTTTCTTTTAATTAAATACTTTCTTCTTTCCCATATTTATGGTTTTGCTTCCTATTTGCATACTTTATTATTCTGGGCTCATTAACTGACATAGACTCCTGTACTATATCCTGTGGGAAAGATGGGTTGCTTTGTTATTGTTTTTAAATATGTAGACCTCAAATTACAAGTGTATTGTATTCCAGAAATGGAATTGACTTATGTATTTCTTTTTGCAAAAAGTTAAAAGGATTACAGATTCCAAGGTACCCCCAGGGCATATCTATAGAAAACAGCATCTGAAATTGCACCCTGGAGGGGGCACATCAAGGAGCAAACTCTAAATTGCTCCCTCCCCCTAATCTGAAGATGAATGGGCATTGATAGCAGTGAGGGGTCAGCAGAAATGCCTTCCGCTTGCTGGTCCAGTTCCCTCAATCAGGTGCCTTTCCTATTTGTGGTGCCCGGGAATGTCATTCCACACCTCATATGTGGCCCTTGGACTTAACACCTCTGCCCTCTGCTCCTTAGGCTCTATGCCTACCATGCTTGAGGAAGGAAGGATATTAGGCTACACCATGTTATCAGAAACTGCTCAGTGGTACCCTGCAGTGGCGCCCAGGACCCATATCATACCTGCTGTACCTTCGATAAATCTCTCAGTAGCCCGCAAAAGCTTTTATAGCTCATGTTTCTGAAGCATGTTAGTTCAGTATATGAATGTGTGAGAACAAATGTAGACTATCTGATGGATTCCCATCTTAGCCCTTCACCACACCAGCCCTCAGAACAGGAGTTCCTTACCAAGGAATATGTAACTCTAGAGATGAAGACTGGGATTGGAGGGATTAAGGCAAGGGTAGGGAATGTCTGGCCCATGGGCTGTATTGTTGTTGGTAAGTGCCATCAAGTTGGTTCCGACTCATAGCGAACCTGTATCGAGTTTCTGAGGAGTGGCTGGTGGATTTGAACCACCGATCTCGCAACTCAAACTGACCTCATGGTCCTGCAGAACCAGGACTCCAAAGTCATTTGGTCTGGCCCTGCCAAGACAACTGCAGTTCCAGCCATCATTCTGATTCAGCAATCTGAGGAACAGCTGGTGGGGTTTGACTGTTGACCTTGTGGTTTGCAGTCCAGTGCTGATCCTACAGTGCCACACCAGGAGTCCTAGCCATCACGTCACATAGTTAATTAAATATTTGGCCAAATATAGGAGGCTAATTTTTAAGTTGATTGATCATTTTGTATGGCCTGTGAGTAATAAAAAATTTGGCAGAAAAGAGATTCCCCAGTCCTGGACTAAGGCATAGTCTTCTTTTCTCCCCTTTATCTTTTTTTTTTTTTTTTTTGAAATAACAAAGGTGTTTTATT